CCCTGTCCTTCTTTAGATTATCCTCTGCAATGAGTTTACCAGACTGGACTTCCAGGGACATATCCTCATAGCTGGTATTATCCAATTGGGAAATAAAGTTATCCCAGCTAGAGTCTAAAGAATTGATTATGATGCTAATTAAACTCTGTTCAGATACAGATTCCCCCTTAAGATCAATTCTTCTCTCATCATGTTAAGCTCACACAGGTGTTCGTTCATATCCACCCCTGCCCTCAATTTAGCAGAATGGAACTAGAAATCCTGCTAGTTGCATTAGAGTTTTTACAGCAGAATAAATTAAACAGTTTTTCCTGAACTTCACATATCCTTAAACCATGTGGGATACTTAGATACAATGCTGGATCAATTGACAATAACAAGATACAAAAAGCCTTATGATGTAAGAAGTCAATCTCCAGAGTCCAAGGTTTGGAGGGAGGCTCTAACAACAATGATAACACATTTTCTTTCATTAATATTACTTGTATACATTTTACCCATTCTTTTAAGTTTTCTCCATTAATGCTTAGGGTTTTAAAACCAGGCAGCAGAATGCTGGCAGTTGCAGGCATGGATGAAGAAAACTGCTGCTGTCCATGATGTTGCAAATTTCGAAAAGGACAATACAGCATAGGTATTGAAGCAGCCAGCTTGAAAGCTACTTGCCGGCTGCCCAAAGATTGCTCCTACCTAGTGGGAGGGGTCAGAGCACCAAACTGGGCATGCTCACAACTCATTCTTGTCTGGACACCAAGATGCGAAGATCTCCTTGATCTTTCCTCAGCAGAAAGCCTCGGCTGGCCTCTGGGACCTCAACCTCGGCCGGTACAGCCCCAGAAATGGCCGCAAAAGCCGGAAACGCTGCAGAAGGATCTGCTGCGCCCGAAACAGGCAGGGAGCGAGTCACAGTCATCAAAGGTGTATCAAGACAAGCCGTGGTCACGCTCTGGGTAAAAGGTGGCTGGAAATTACCACCAAAAGCTGCTGTTAAAACTTCTATTGCATTTGCGATTTCCAGTTCGGTGGGCGAAATTCTTAAGCCATCAATAGCTGGTCGGGCAATAGGTGGCGCCATATTAACTTGGTCACCCTGAATTGGGGTTTGGCTGGGTGCTAAATTTAAAATGGGCAGTCTATTATTTCCCACCTTTGATTTAGAGTCAGTAAAAGGGGTTGCAGGACAGGATTGGGTATCTCTTACTGGTCTAGCACCATCCTGGGTTTCTCTCCTGTCCCTTGCTGCTGTTTCCGTGGCCACAAACTGCAATAAGGCACTAATATCAGCAATTGGGTCCTCACTTGTTTCTGGCAAGCCAAAAAACTGAAGCATCACTATTTTCATCTGCTCTCTTCCTCCCAAAGCTGCATCTGGAACCAGAAGGGGCATCCCTCTGTTCTCACTCTTTGCAGATGGAGGACTTTTAGCAGCAAATGATTCAAGAGCTAGGGCAATTGCTTCCAAAGCCATCACCCCCCCCTCACTCTTTGATGCTTGAAACTCCTCAGTTAAAATCTTCCTGGTTTTGGCTTCCATCAGTCTGCTTTGTTGTGCCTTGCTTCTAGTGGAGGCTTGAGTTACAATCTTCTCTTTTCGGGTTGGCTTAATCATAGACATGCTTGTTTAATGTATTGCAACGTGAATAGGGTCTACAACCATCCTCTGCTACCAATTGTTAAGAAATTTAGGAGGTTCCTTCTGGATCGTGACCCTTACTCACTTGCAAACACATCAAACAAACAAACAAGCCAGAGAGGAGTTTTAGAAAAGCTAAAACTAGTTTAATAGAAATGAACAAACAAATAAAACAAAGTCTATAAAAATACCAATAGTCATCTCCCTTCTTAGCAAAGATCCATTCAGCTCTCTTGGAGTCTCTCCATATGATTTGAGCCCAGCTCTTCCTTCCTTCCTCAGAAGTAGTCTGGAGTGACTTCAGCTCAAGCGTGTGTGTGTGTGCTCAGCTCAGCTTGTATCTCAGTAAGGTGAGTAGGTCAGAGGCCTGCTCTGCTCTGCTCTGCTCTGAATGGCCGGTGAGTGCTGTTAACGAGCAGCTGCTTAAATGCTGAGTCATGGTCAGTTAGGAAAGGTCCAGGAAAACTCAGAGCCAAAAGCTGCAGTCTGACTGGCTCATTCAAATGTTCAAGCCAGGATCCAATCAATAGATCACAGCAAACCTTGAAAGGAACTTACTCTCACAACCACTGAAACAAAGGCTTTACAGAAGTCTATGTAAATTGCATCTATTGCTTTGCCCTGATCAAGATTTGTAGTCCCATATGTTTTTGCAGTATAGTAGTTGCAGATTACAGGATAATTTTTTCTGAAACCAAATTGTTTGTTGGAGAGTTGTTTGTTTGTCTCTAAGTAGAGGGTAATGGATTGGTTAATGATTGATTCCATGACTTTGCAGGTGACGCAACATAAAGAGATTAGTCTGTAATTTTCAAGTAGGTTGGGGTCTCCCTTTTTGAAGATAGGAATGATCGTGGCTAGTGACCATTGGTTGGGCAAGGAGCTGGTCATGAAAGATTTTTCAAAGATTATGCTTAGAGGTTCTAAGCTTCTAAAGCTTGTTTAAGAAGTAGGCACATAGTCCATCAGATCCAATAGAGAAGGATGGTTTTAGACTGCATAGTGCCTTTTCAACATTGGCTTCTGTAAAATCGATATGTATTAAATCATTGTAATTGTTGTAATTATTTTAGATACGACTGGGAAATATTGGGTTAGTGCTGTTGCTGTTTACAAAGACTGAGCCAAAGAATGAGTTAAAGAGGTTGGCTTTAATGGTTTCATCATTACAGTCTTTATCATTTAGGGGTGGGATGGATCTCGAGTCTTTAAGTTTGTTGTTTACAAAATTATAGAAGACACGGGTGGATTTTGTGCGCAGAAGTTTTTCCTCTTGTTTGATGTGATAATTGGTGCATTCAGTCTTTATCTGGTGGCATGCGTTTTTGTAGCAGCTTTTAAAGTTAGCTACATAGTTTTGTTTTTTCACTAAACAGATGTTTTTTTGGATTGGAGCTTCCTTATTGTCATGGCTAATTTGTTTTTTCTGGTTTTAGGGGTTATTAGTGGTATGTATAGTTTAATTAGTCTTTTGACTTCGAGCAAAAAAATATTATAATGGTCTTCAGCAGCATTACAGCCAGTGAATAGAAATTGCCAATCAAGAGATGAGATTTCATTGTCTATGAGATCATAGTTGGCTTTTTTGAAGTTTATAACTGGGGATCACATCACTATGATGATGTGGCACGTCCCTCCCGAGCTCTGTTTTCACTGGCAGAGGGCTGCAGGAGGCCATCACAGCCAAAATGGTGCCAGCAAGGCCACACGCAGCCCTCCTGAGGTCTATTTTCACTGGCAGAGGGCTGCAGGAGGCCGTCACAGCCAAAATGGTGCCAGCAAGGCCACACGCAGCCCTCCTGAGGTCTATTTTCACTGGCAGAGGGCTGCAGGAGGCCATCACAGCCAAAATGGTGCCAGCAAGGCCACACGCAGCCCTCCTGAGCTCTGTTTTCACTGGCAGAGGGCTGCAGGGAGCCATCACAGCCAAAATGGTGCCAGCAAGGCCACACGCAGCCCTCCTGAGATCTATTTTCACTGGGAGAGGGCTGCAGGAGGCCGTCACAGCCAAAAATGGAGTTCGAGAGCCCATTTTCTCTGGCAGAGTACTTGGGCCACCACAGGTGCCCCTGGCATGAGTGACATTGAGCTAGCCATGCCCACCCTGGCCATACCCACCCCGGCCCCCCGAAATCAAACAACCCTGATGCGGTCCTCAATGAAATCGAGTTTGACACCCCTGCCTTACAGCATCATCCTGTGGTAAGAAGATGAAACAGTTTATGTCCAGGATGTGAGAGGTCTATAGAAATAGTTGGAAGAAATGTCCATCTGGGTTAAGTTCCAAGTGGGGAGAAAGACACTGGAAACATGGTGGCTGATTGGAAAGATGGTTTTAATGGTGGACAGGACCACATGGTTTGAGGTCCAGGGGAGAGAGGGAGATTGATACCCTCTCTTGGGCCCCGCCTTGGAACTTCCTGTTCCTGTGAAAGAAATGTATTCTGATTGATTGTCAGACTCCCATGGAGCCATGCAGGGGTAACTTTGTAGGATGTCAAGAGTCCCAGGCTTGGTTGAACCTTGCTGGGTGATGCAATCTCCCCAGGTGCATGTGGCGAGTTCTGTTGCTAGATGGGTAGAGGGCTAATCTTATCATGTCCTTAGGGCTATGTCTTAATCCCATCACCCTGGAGCTGAAGGGGGAAGGGGCAGGGAGCTGCTTTGTCTTTAAAACACGTTTCTCCTTTTCTCATCCAGGGAAATATAATATTCTGCCTTTTAATATTTCCTAAAACATTTCATTCTTCTAGGAGGGGGGTGGGTATTAACTTTCTATTTTCACAGCCCTCTTTCTGGCTCGTGCAGCATACAGGTCCTCAAGATAGTGTCTTATTATGAATCTACCACTTTAATTATTGCTCTCCTGCATTGACTTGTGACACAGAAACAAAAGTAATTACAAAAAAAAGCTGCATAGAATTCATTGTAATTTTCATTTTTTCCATTTTAAACAGAGCAGAAAAGACCCCAACTCTACCTACAGTGAAAAGAACCTGGCTCAGTGTATTTTTGATTTTTTTGGTGCTGGAATAGACACAACCTTCGGTACTCTGATGTGGGCACTGCTTCTCTTGACCAATCATCCCAACATCCAAGGTGAGACAGACATGGCTAAAGGAGCAAGAGTCACTCTCAGGTTTAAAAATACACAGAAATTATTTGAAATCTATTCATAATAATTTTCCTATGTAGATTCTTGATTCTATAAGCAGGAGAATGAATTTAACAGGATTAAAGGAAAGCAAAGAATATACACACAGAAATCCTACCATATGCTAAATAAATAAACAGAGAGCCTTCTTTGAATCCTCAATAAAATATTCAGTGAGGAGCTAAAAACTGGAAATCAGTACAAATCTGAAACATTTAATAATTTCAATGTAGAAATCTCCTATGGTTTTCAGATTTCTTATTTATTTATTTATTTTATTTTATTTATTAAATTTTTATACCGCCCCCTCTCCTGAAGGACTCGGGGCGGTGAACAACCAAAATTAAAAACACACAATACAAATATTAACATACATTAAAACGGAATTAAATTATCTTTGGCTTCTCCAATTTAAAACCCCTTGCCCATAAAATTCCCCAATTAAAAGATTTTTAACTCAGCCCGGCTTGCTGAAATAAAAAAGTCTTCAGGGCCCAGAGGAAGGTACGGAGGTCCCTTCTTATTTGTTTCAGGCGTAAATTTAAATTGTCTGAACATAGAAATCAAAATGGCGGGCACGAGCCGATACACGATGCAAGGTTCCCTGCCATGAAGAGAAGAGATGGGATAATTGTGTGCGTGTGTGTGGGAAATTCTTGCCATTCACAGCACCAAATGAACCCCTCAATCGTCTCCTTAACCCCACCTTCTTCCTGCTCTGTTACTGCCTGGCCTGCTAGTTGACTGAGACTTGGAAGTTGAAGAGACTGACCTGGGATGGCATGGTGAAGACAGGATTAGTCCAGAGTTGGGAGCCAGCCAAGGCTTATATGTGAAGTTTCTGAACGATGCCCTAATTAATTCATGAGCCTCAAACTAAGTTTCAAAAGAACTCCAGTCATTTAATAGGAGCAACATTCCAGCAATTACTCAAATTGAGTCAGCTCTGACCTCCCACGTGATTTATGGGTCCCCATGACCCTGTCTCCCCCTCCCCACCTGGGGAGGTCATAAATCACATTCTCCAATGGACCATGTTGGCGGGTAGGGCTGTAAAAACCCTATCCCTCCTGCTGACTCCGGTAACCTAGGATACAGGATACAATCTGAAAAAAGGCATGTGTGGAATGTATTTTCTGTTGGGGCAGCCAAGCAGCTTCATCAGTTCTCCCCCTCCTACTTATGGCAACTTGAAAGCTGGTCTGGAAAACTTTGCAAGTTGACATTTGGCTCCCCTCACTTCCCAAAGGTGACCTGCACAAAGCAAAAACAATTTGAGTACAGGTATAAAATTTAGGGACGTGACCCCCACCGCCAGGCTTGTTTGGATTTTCCATGTGAAATTTGGCTATAAGGCGATCAGCCTGGATGGTTTGACTCTTTACCCAAGATGTCTTTGATAAGGGGTAACCCTTCCACTTGATTAAGTATTGGAGTTGTCTCCTATCCTACCTCGAATTGAGGATTTGCTACACCTCATAATGGGTTTGGCCTCCTATGACCACGGGGTCCAGGGGCTCATGGGGTAGTGGCCTCAAGGTCAATCTGACCACTGATTTTAAGAGGCTACTATGGAAAATTGGGTGTGTCTTCCCTAGTAGTCGGGGTAATTTCAATTGCACTGTGACTGGGTTGATTATCTTTACTATTGGGAATGGTCCCATAAACTTTGGCCCCAGTTTCTTGATAGGGAGTTTTAACTTCAGATATTTTATGGAGAGGTAAACCTTGTCCCCAATTGAAATGGCCATTGGGGAGCTCAGAGTTTGTCTGCTTGTTTCTTATAGGTTTGTGCCGCTTTAGCTATCGCTTTCTTGACATTCTCCCAGGTCGCTTTCAACGTTGACATCCACTTGGTCAAGCTGACTGAGGAGGGGGGATCCCTTGGGTATTCAGGCATTGGGATGAAGTCTATGCCGTTCACTATCTTGAACGGGGTTAGTCCTGTGCTACTGTGAACAGCATTATTGTACACGACCTCGGTCGACAGGACGTCCACCCAATTGGCCACTCAGTACCACTTGGAGAGTCAGTTCAGGATGTCCCGGTAAGCGGTTACCTGGGCGATTTGCTTGTCCAGGCTTGTTCTGAAAAAGTGCTCTGGTAAAGGAGGCAGCTTCCTGATGACTCTACTGAATTCATGGATGTGTTCCTTGATGGGTCGCCCCCTTTGTGCACCCTAGATTTCTGAGCTCATCTTCCACGTATGGGTCCTCCTCCACCTCTTCAAACCTGGCCTCTAGAAGTTGTAGGAAGTCATCTGCATCTTGCAGTTGGGGGGCTCTCCTCTTGTGGAGGGCTGCTAGCCATTACCTTGCTTCTTCCTCTAGCCCCTCTGCGATGGTGTTCACTATGGCTCTGGGGGATGGGTAGAGGTGTCCATAGTGTTCTAGGTGGATCTCGACCGAGTCAAGGAATAGAGCTTGTAAATCATCTAGTCATCTGGTCACCAACTGGTGGTCTGTTGACCACTGGTGGTCTGCAATAAAATTTTGATGGTCTGCAGAAAAATTATTTGCATTTTTAATATTGCACTAAATCAGGGGTTCTCAAACTACAGCCCCTGGGATAGATACGTGCAATGAACATTTGTGTTGCTGCAAAGAGTCTCTCCCTTTGGGGTCTTTTTGTGTAGGTCAGAGGGGGGCAGAAATTTGAACTTGGGATCTGCTTTGGCCTCCTGGTGCAGGGCTTTGTATGAAGGCTGGAGGGAAGTGATGCTGCTGGTGAAGAGCCAAAGAGGCTTGCTCCAGTGGGACTGCATCATGGCCTGGAACTGGCTGACCATCTCAGCCCGCTGAGCCTCCAGGCACCGGAACCTGGCAGGTCTTCCCTTTACTTGAAAAGCCTATGCTCGTAATCCTCATTGAGGTGCTTCTGCTGAGCCTCCTTCTCGTCTGATCCAATTTGAATTGAACTGTTTTGCCAACTCTTTCTCGTGGTGGCTGCTTAGCTCCAACAACTGCTTCCTGTTGGGGCCCTAAGGAGCCCAGGCAAGGAGGTGAGGAGAGTTGGCCATGCCCACCCAGTCACATGACCACCTAGCCACACCCACCCAGCCGGTCATTAGACAGATAATGTTAGTGGTCCATGGGATTTAAAATTATGAACTTAGTGGTCCCTGATGTCCGAAAGGTTGGTGACCCCTGATCTAGTCCAACCCCCACCCCCCAGTCGAGCAGGAGGCCCTACACCCATGATGGTAAATCTATGGCACACGTGCCATAGATGGCACACGTAGCTATATCAGTGGGACTGGAAGTTGGCAACCAGGTCAGTTTTTGCCTCCAGAAGGTCTCAGGGGGTGGGGGGGAAGGCTCTGGAGGCTGGGGACAACAAAAAACAAGCCTTACGGTCCCACCGGAAGTTGGCAAATGGGCCGTTTCTGGCCTCCAGAGGGCCTCGTGGGGATAGGGGTGGGGAAGGCCGGTTTCACCCTCCCCAGACTCCTAGAAAGGCTCTGGAGCCAGGTGAGAGAGAAAAACAGGCCTACCGGGCCATCGTGTGCCAGGAGTGGGGGGGGTCGCACACGCCTGCGTGGGGGTGGGGTGCATACACCATTATTCCACCAGTTGTGGGATAACAATCAATGAGCTGGTGACTGGAGTTGAGGGTCTGGCTGGGTCTTCAAACGTGGGAATCCCAATAGACATGGAGGCCAGAAGCAGATAATAACTTGAAGGAGAAGGCCAGAAACTTTGAAGAACATTGGTGGCAACAAGCCTGAATAAATAAAATGAAGCTTCTATTTCCATAATTTCTTTTCTAGAGAAAATCCAGAAGGAAATTGAAGATGTGTTTGGCTTCTCAGGGTTGATTTCCTATCAGGATCGGAAGAAGCTACCCTATACCAATGCCGTGATTCATGAAATGCAGCGTTTAAAAAGTGTCTTGTTAGTTGGGCTTCCCAGACAAAGTACAAAGGATGTGAACATGAGGGGTTACCACATTCCTAAGGTGAGAAACGTGTTTAGGCTGCATTCCAGTAGCCCAACATGGAAGGAAAAGCAGAATATGGAACTTAGATGGAAGCTCTCTGTTCAGGAGCTTCCAATGTAGTCATACAAAATTGAATAAGCAAGAATAAGAAACTCTTGAGGGGGGATGGATTATGGGTTTAAATCCAAATGCCTTTCAAATTCCAAAGAACCATAAGCATTTTCTATTTATTCTAGGATGTTGATAATAGATTAGGGGCTGAATTTAAGTTCAGAATTGCAGTCATATTTGGACATGTTTCTTTGTCCATTTCTTGGCTCAATCTGATGTGATAAATATGCACCCAGCTCCAGTGGTGAAATCTAAAATTTGTTATTACTGGTTCTGTGGGTGTGGCTTGGTGGGGGGGGGTAATGTGACTGAGTGGGTGTGGACAATTTTTTTTTCTTTTAAAACCATTTTTCGGTGAAGAGGTTGTAAAAAAATGCTTTCAAAAGGTTCTGACGATCCCAGCTGAGTTGCCTGATCGGCAGAGGCTTTTTTTCTTTTAAATGCCTCTGTCGATCAGGCAACTCAGCTTGGATTGTCAGAGGCTTTTAAAAGAAAAAAAAAACCTCTGCTGATTAGACAACTCAGCTTGGATCTTCAGAGGCTTTTAAAAGAAAAAAAACCTCTGCCGATCAGGCAACTCAGCTGGGATCATCAGCTGACGATCCCTTTGACGATCCCAGCTGAGCCGCATGATCATCAGAGGCTTTTTTTTTTTTTTTTTACTTTTAAAAGCATTTTTTCGGCCGAAGAGGTTGTAGAAAAAATGCTTTTAAAAATTAAAAGAAAAAGTCTCTGATGATTGTGCGGCTCAGCTGGGCATGGGGGTGCGGCAGGGATTTTTGCTACCGGTTCTCCAAACCACCTGCCTCCATTGATACCGGATCAGGCGATCCGGTCCGAACCGGGAGCATTTTACCCCTGCCCAGCTCTTGGTTTTAATAGAAGGGATGGAAGAAAGGAAGCTAAACAGTTGAGCGGCTACTGCTGTCTGAAATCGCTCTGGAAATGAACAAATGTGGGTCCAAAAAGGCAAGCTAAAACCAAATGCTTCATCCATATTGTTGGTACTTTTTTACCTGTTGAAATTATGAAACTGTTCTGTTTAATCATTTCTTTTTTTAAAACAGGGGACCATTATCGTCGCAGACTTGCGCTCTGTTCTTCTTGATCCTGAGCAATGGGAGACCCCTGAAGAATTCAACCCAAATCACTTTTTAGATAAGGATGGGAAGTTCCTTGATCGAGAAGAGTTTTTGTCATTCGGAATAGGTACATCCATGATTCCAAAGCAGGTTATAACTTGTAGATTCCCAACACTACCACTCCTGAGGTCATCATAGTTTGAATAGCTTGAATCCTTATTCCTTCTAGTTTCAAAACTAAGAGAGTCTGAAATTCCCTTAGGCTATAAACATTGATGTGCAAAAGAATAGTAATCTTATAGTGGTACTTTGTAAAATAAGTACAAGATTGCACAACTATCACTGGTATTTGTTGTTGTTGTTGTTGTTAACTGCAAAGTCATGTCTGATCCATTGCAACCCCATGGACAATGTTCCTCCAGGCCTTCCTGTCCTCTACCATCTTCTAGAGTCCATTTAAGCTCACGCCTACTGCTTCAGTCACTCCATCCAGCCACCTTGCTCTCTGTCGTCCTCTTCTTTTTCTTTTGCCCTCAATCTTTCCCAACATTAGGCTCTTCTCCAAGGAGTCCTTCCTTCTCATTAGGTTGCCAAAGGATTTGAGTTTCATCTTCAGGATCTGGCCTTCTAAAGAGCAGTCGGGGATTATCTCCTCTAGGACTGACCGGTTGGATCACCTTGCAGTCCAAGGGACTCACAGGAGTCTCCTCCAGCACCAGAGTTCAAAGGCCTCAATTCTTTGATGCTCAGCCTTCCTTATGGTCCAACTTTCACAATCATACATTGCAAACTCTGGGAAAACTCTGGTATTTAGGAGAGGATTATTAGCTAAATTCAAAGAAAAGTAGTCTAGTGTAACTTCTTATTGATTAACATAATAGAGCTTAATGCATTTAGAAACATAAGCCTGTTGTCCAGATCCATAAGCTTATGTTTCTAAATGTATTAAGCTCTATTATGTTAATGATTGCAGGGTTCCTTCTAATGTAGCGTTTCCAGTCTTATCTGGTATTGCACATATGCCAATGACCCCTTCTCCATTGGAAACCAACAGGAAACCAAGGAATCCTTTTCCACTGCTAGTGCAAAGGACACAGTAAAGCTAGGTATGAAAAGCTATTGTTGCCCCAGAAAGGTCAAATCCTTTTATCTGGCTTGCAGACTCAATGAACCGCACCAGACAGGTGGAAAGGAAAAGAAATTTGCAAATAAAAGGTCTGTCCAAAAACAAGTTCTAAATGAATAAATGGGGACAGTAGGACAGGGACGGTAGGCACGCTGGTGCGCTTATGCACGCCCCTTACAGACCTCTTAGGAATAGGGTGAGGTCAACAGTAGACAGTCTAAAGTTAAAGTTTTGGGGGTTTGGGGAAGAAACCACAGAGTCAGGTAGTGCATTCCAGGCATTGACCACTCTGTTGCTGAAGTCGTATTTTCTGCGATCGAGTTTGGAGCGGTTTATCTTGAGTTTGTATTTATTATTTGCTCGTGTATTGTTGTGGTTGAAGCTGAAGTAGTCATTGACAGGTAGGACATTGTAGCAGATAATTTTATGTACTATGTGTCAGCATTTACTCTAGTGCTGACACATAGTACATAAAATTATGTACCTGACACTATGCTTAGGTCAGACTGAAGGCAGCGTAGTTCTAAGTTGTCTAAGCCCCAAATTTCAAGTCTGGTGTCATAAGGTATTCTATTGAGAGCAGTGGAGTGGAGGACTCTTCTTGTGAAATATCTCTGGACTCTCTTAATTGTATTAATGTCCGATATGCAGGGTGGGTTCCAGGCAGATGAGCTGTATTCGAGAATTGGTCTAGCAAATGTTTTGTATGCCCTAGTTAGTAGTACAATATTACCAGAGAAGAAACTTCGCAAAATTAGGTTTACAACTCTTAATGCCTTTTTGGCAATTGTTACAGTGAGCTCTGGCACTTAGAGCATTTGAGATGAGTACTCCAAGGTCCTTGACAGAGTGAGGGTCATCTACGAGGTCATATCTGCCCAGCTTGTATTTGATGTTCCGATTTTTTTGCCTATGTGTAATGTGTAAGATACCAGGGTTATCATGGTCATCTATTTCTTCTGTTACGAATCTTTTAATATTGCCTTGCTGATGGATTTTAACTCATTAAAATCCCCTTTATGCATGCTTTGTCTCACCTACAGGTCAGCGTTCCTGTGTGGGAGAGCAGCTGGCAAGAATTGAGATCTTCATCTTTCTGACCAGCCTGTTGAGGGCCTTCAGCTTCCGGTTGCCTGAAGGAGTGAAAGAACTCAATGAAGAACCTGTCGAAAAAGTGATGACACATCCACACCCTTACAAACTGTGTGCTATTCCCTTACAATCTTAGGACTAAACACCATAAAAAGCATAAAATTAGTTACAGAGTAGCTATTCAGTATGATAAATATTTCTAATATGCTGATAATCCCTTAATATTGTATTTTGCTTCTATTTACTCAATACTGAAACTTTTTCAACCTATTGCTGGGTTCACACAACATACCTAAGAAGGTCAACCTAAGATTAGGAGGATGTGGGTGAAAAATGTACTAACTAAGCTTTCCAAAAAGCAACTGGACTTTCTTGATGACAAAGAATATAAATCCTTCCATTCCCCACCAGTCAATTAGAACTAAAGAAGCTTCTTGGATGATGAGAAGCGAAATGTTTTCAAATAAGATAAAAAACACCCAAGAAAGTATAGGTGCTTTTTGCAATAAAGCACCTCTGGAATAACCATGATCTGGATGGTTGTGAATCTCCATAGATGTTAAAATGTTTATGTTTCACCTTTGTTTCTTTTTGGATGCCAATAAAACGTATTGCTTTCCATTTAGTTTTAGTATCTACTTTCATTTTTAATCAATTTCTCCTACAGACTTCTTATTTATTTATTTATTTATTTATTTATTTATTTATTTATTTATTTATTTATTTATTTATTTTTATTTAGTTTGTCAAACATGTATGAGATAACAGAAACAAGTATAAACATGGATATGAATACAGTAACTGGGTATGAATAAATGAGGACAGTAGGACAGGGATGGAAGGTACACTGGTGTTCTGTCCCCGTACCACACCCCCTCCCCCCACAAACGGCCTGGAGTTAATAAGCCACACGACAAAACTCTTTGAAGATAAAGCTGGCAGCAACCCAGTGGCTAGCTGCCAATTCAGACTTTACTCACACAAAACAAAGATTAGACTGCAGGCATTCCAATAAAACAGGCAGAGTGTCAATAATACAAGGATTAATCCAAATGCAGTCCGATAAAGCAGGCAAAGTCCAGTAACGCAGAGATCATGGATTATTTCCAGTTTTTGCTCATCACAAACTGAACTGGCCACTACACCCACATTTATACCCTGTGGGGTGTGGTCCAGTGACTCAGCTAATCTCTGCCACACCTTCCCCTCTGCTGTGCATGCTTCTCCCTGTGCCTCTGTCGAGGGTCCAGCCAGCATTTATCTTCCTCGTCGCTGTCCACCTGTGGCTGCGGGGACGTGCTTGGCACTGAGCCTATCGTTTGGCCTTCGGTGTCCTCTGGAGGCATTGCCAGAGAGGAGGGTCCTGGAGAGGGAGGCCTTGCCAACTCTTCTCCCTCACTCTCAGAGTCTGCATCTGTCAATAGCCCAGGCTCAGGCAACGGAGCCACAACAACTGGTGCGCTTATGCACGCCCCTTAAAGACCTCTTAGGAATGAGGTGAGGTTGACAGTAGACAGTCTAAGGTTAAAGTTTTGAGGGGTTTGGGGAAGAAACCACAGAGTCAAGTATTGCATTCCAGGCATTGACCACTCTGTTTCTGAAGTAATATTTTCTGCAATCGAGCTTGGAGTGATTTACCTTAAGTTTGTATCTGTTGTGTGCTTGTGTATTGTTGTGATTGAAGCTGAAGTAGTCACTGACAGGTAGGACATTGTAGCAGATAATTTGATGTGCTACGCTTAGGTCGGACCAAAGGCGGCAAAGTTCTAAGTTGTCTAAGCTCCAAATTTCAAGTCTAGTGTCATAAGGTATTCTGTTGCGAGCAGAGGAGTGGAGGACTCTTCTCATGAAATATCTCTGGACCCATTCAATTGTATTAATGTCCGATATGCAGTGCGGGTTCCAGACAGATGAGCTGTATTTGTGAATTGGTCTAGCAAAAGTTTTATATGCCCTAGTTTGCAGAACAATATTACCAGAGAAGAAACTTCTCTTAATGCCTTTTGGGCAATGCTGTTACAGTGAGCTCTGGCACTTATCCACACCCTTACAAACTGCGCTATTCCAGCACAGGCTTAAACATATAAAACACCATAAAAACATAAAACTAATTGCAGAATAGTTGTTCAGTATGTTACATGTTTATAATTATGCCTATTCACTTAATACAATGTTTTGCTTCCTTTTATTCTACACTGAAACCTCTTCAATTTATTGCTGGGTTCACACAACATACCTAACTAGGTCAATGAAGTTGGGTATGAAAAATGTGCAAAGTAAAATTGCTACTTTGATAATGGAACCAATTCACCCGAGAGAGAAAGGGTGATTTTTCCCTTTACTCTGTTGAAGATGCTTTGTTTTGTATTCCTGCAATGGATAATGGGTGGAACCTGATAGCCTAAATAAGCCCTTCTAATTCTTCAGTTCTATAATGATTTCAAAAACTATTTCTGGATCTGAGTTCTGAAGGGTGACCTCTGTTTTAGATAATGATTCATATGCAGCTGCTTGGAGAATGAAGCAATACAACAGGTTGGTCAGTATGTGTGACCTAGATCTAGTATGATCTAGATATTGGCGGTTATAAAATTTAATTGAACCACCTCTCTACTTCTGGCATGTTGTCCTGCACTAACACTCATTGCAGTGTAAGATACCTAACTTTTTAATATTCAGAATTTAGTTTTCCTCTTCTGTGTGATGGAGAGAATCATTTTGTTGGGCAATACTGTTGGTGGAATGATCGTATACTAGTAATATTCCTTCAATAGTCACTAGTCTATAATATAATAGATAATTATAACATAATTAGTCATTGTATGCTAAGTCCAATTGAAACAACCCTTTTGTCTAGATAATGAAAGCTACATTCTTCTTCCAGATTCCACTATTTCATTTAAAAAAATTACAGGGAAAAGAATCATCCAACTCAAGATGTAGATTATAAAACCAAAAAGTTCAGGATGTGATAGCAGATTCTTTTGAAGTGGCCGGGTCCTGTAGAATTATTTTGGAATGCTAGAATAATACACAAACATCACAATTCTATCTTCAGTGAAGGAACAAAAGGCTTTTCCTTAAACTAATGTATTTCCAAGCAACAGTGACACAGAAGAAAAAAAAAAGTGGGGAAAAAGAATTCTATTCTATTCTATTCTATTCTATTCTATTCTATTCTATTCTATTCTATTCTATTCTATTCTATTCTATTCTATTCCATTCCATTCCATTCCATTCCATTCCATTCCATTCCATTCATTTAGGATCTGCTTCTGATAAGATTATCATTAAAGGATCTGCTTCCAGATTTACTTTCCTTTCTCTGAGACTAATTTAACCATGGTTTTTTTTTTCTTTCTATCTAAGAGTGGGATCATCCAGGGAGAAAACCCTGCCTTTCCCCTGAATAGATTTTAAAACTTCTGCTCAGGAATAGTTTCTGTTGCCATTTCAAGAAAGCCAGCCTCCTTTCAAGTCTTAAAATTGCCAAGGTTGGAGACCCCTGTTCTAGAGCATTTACATGAGAGCAAAACTCTACTAATTTCCATTTTAATGGGTGACCATTCGGCTGCCTGTAGGCCTATCAGAGTAAGTTGACAGCAGAGAAGTGGACTTAAGGATAAAACACTTTCTCTGGTGTCCCAAAGGTGCTTTTTCAAGAGGCAACTGGACTCCATAGACACTTTCTCTGTTGGCATTCCAATTTCCCATGTTAACTCTATTAAGTGATTGTGTAGGGCAACCCAGTTTGAAGGATTTGAATATTCCATATTTGCCTCTCCCTCTTTTCATCACATATCGATTGGGGATACTCTTTCCTATCGCTGGTACAATTGTTGCTGTTTTCTTTTATCTAATGCTTTAGCTTTTCTTCCTGAATGCTGTACTTGATTGATTGGAAACATATAGCAGCATGTCTTTTGATCCTCAGTCTAATTAGTGCTGGTATTTTTGTCAACAAGATGTTATCACATGAATTTACATACATCTGATCAAATGTTGCATGTATAGGAGGCAGAGTGATCTATCTTTTCCTTTTCAATCAGTGGCAAGATCTGGAGTGGGAGCAAAACCATTTAGGGAAATGTATTATGTACCCTCTAGTATTGTATAACATGTATTGTATACCATCTAGAGTCATTTTGGTGAATGAGACAATTTATATGTGAAGTAAATTATTAAATTAACAAGAAGCAAGGAGGTGATTCAAGCAGAGAACTGGGGGATTCTTATCCTTTTTAAAAAAAAAAAAATCAAGTTTTATTGATTTTTCCCCCCACATTCATCCGCATATTTTATGAACAGAGTATTGGCCAAATCATATCTTATACAATTTATCATATTCAAATACATTGTACTCAATTACAATTTTTGCCAAGATCTTCTTTTTCCATTTTTTAATCATATCTTAATATTTCTATGCTTAATTGTATAAACAACATCTTCATTCACCCTCAAATTCTAATTTTTCTGTTTACTCATATTTATTCTCTTTTATTTTTTAACAATTCATTCTTTATCCTAGTGCATTAATATATGTTCGGGGTTGCCTTTCTTCCATTTCATCTTTTTTGTTGTACAGCAACCCTGACTTTTCTTTAACTATATTTCTCAAAATTCCCCTTATCTTTTAATTATTAACAATATATTTCAACTTATTTTTATCTTAAATCCTTTGCTAGAATAGCCGTCCAACCCTTAATCTGTTTTACTTTTAATGATAGTAAAGTAACCCTTACCTTCATCATTTACTAACATTCAATTTTGTTCAATTTTACATTTCAATTTTCCATCTTGATTTCAATTAATTCTATTTTTGCTATTATTTCTTTCCAATTAGTACATCCTCCAACAACAAAAACATATAATCCATTCTGTCTTTCACATTGCATCTACTGATCTATTTTACATTAAACAGCATATTTCTTCTTTTTTACTTCTTATTCACATTTCATTTTATCCTTACTTATCTCCCTTTTACAATAATCTATATCCTCCTTCTAGATTACTTTTCACTTACAATTTCTACAACTAACATCCTTCTCTTTATTAACATATTAATATTTTTACTATTCCCTAACCATTTTTTTAATCTCTTCACAATTTCATTTCTTGATGTTTTCCTCCTTTTCTCCCATTCCCGTATCCTCTTCCTCCTCCTCCTCCTCCTCCTCTTCTTCTTCTTCTTCTTCTTCTTCTTCTTCTTCTTCTTCTTCTTCTTCTTCTTCTTCTTCTTCTTCTTCTTCTTCTTCTTCTTCTTCTTCTTCTTCTTCTTCTTCTTCTTCTTCTTCTTCTTCTTCTATCTCCCTTTCTGCCTCTTTTCTTTAAATTTAACTCTTAATTTTCCCTCTCAATATTTCCCCATTTCTTTTTCCTTTTTCTGTTTGAGAGGTATTCCCCCTTATCCATTTTTATTCTGTCACTGTTAATCCCAGTGTAATCATCTGTATCTTTATTTTCATTTATTTCCTTTTCAGTATTGTCTCCTTGTTTCTCTTGCTTCTCATTCATCTTTTCTCCTTCCTTTTTTTTTGCATTCTAACCAATCTTCTGCTTCTTTATTTCCCTTAAATGCTTCTCTTATCTTTTGAAATATCTCCCTTAGTATCTCATATTCATCCTCCCAATTCTCCATATTGTCAATTTAAAAGGCAAGAATTTTTAAATTTATTACTTTTGTTTGCATATAATTCAAATCAAAGTCCATGTAGTGTCTCTTTTTACTTTTCTTTTCATTTTTTCCAGATAATGTCCAATTCAAATATTCATTTGAGCCATTCCAATTTCAGTCTTTGTCCTTTCCACTCCTCTTAATCTTGTGACAGCTAATCTTGTTACATTTAATCTTGTTTAATTTCTTCCAAATCCAGTTTTAAATCCAGGTGGAAGGTTCCTTTAGGGCTTTAGTTTTAACTTTAATGTTCCTCTCTTTTTTTCCGCTTAAATTTCCAAGGGCCAATTAGTTGCTAATTACTCATTGGGACTTCTTTCAAGCTTTTAAAAGTTTTTTGTTCTTACCTATGAGTTGGCCAATCACTCATCCGGTAACAATACTGTGTTCAATCTCCACTCCTGCATTTCCTCTTCTTGGCTGTGACTGCTCCGGCTTTTGACAGCTCCATGGCTGCCTTCCTTCGCCAATGGTTCGAAGACTAATGCCGGCACTTCGGGGAACTTGCTCTTTCCCTATCTGTGCCAGCCTGTGCCTTCTTTCTTCACTGTCCCTACAGGGCACCTATGATCCCTAGGGATCCCCAAAATTGGCTGGGATATCGGTGTTCTCCTGGAATTCCAGAATCCACACCGTACCACCCAATGCCGGCCACCCCCCTAGAATAGAATAGAATAGAGCTGGAAGGAACGTTGGAGGTCTTCTAGTCCAGCCCCCTGCTCAAGAAGGAGAATTTATACTATTTCAGATAAGTGACTGTCTAGTCTCTTCTTAAAAATCTCGGATGATGGAGCACCCATGATTTCTGAAGGCAATCTGTTCCACTGGTTAATTGTGCTCACTATTAGGAAGTTTTCCTTAATTCCAGGTTGCTTCTCTCTTTGATTAGTTTCCAACCATTGTTTCTTATCCTGCCCTTTGGTGCTTTGGAGAATAATTTGACCCCCATCTTCTTTATGGCAGCCCCTCAAATACTGGAATACTGCTATCATGTCACCCTTAATTCTTCTTTTCTTTAGACTAGCCAGACCCAAAACCTGCAGCCGTTCCTCATGTGGTTTAGTTTCAGGCCTTTGATCATCTTAGTTGCTCTTCTCTGAACTTTTTCCAAGGTCTCAACATCTTTTTTGTAGTATGGTGACCAAAATTGGTTGCAGTATTCCAGGTGTGATCTCCCTAAGGTTTTGTAAAGCAGCAGTAATACTTTCCATATATTATTCACTTCTATCTCTCCTTATTGGTTGGGTGGCCTGTGATATACACCTATGGGAATGTAATTTTTTCCCCTTTTATATTGACCCATATACATTCTGGAAGGTTTTTATCTTTGATCATGTGCATTTCTGTAAATATATAGTGATCTCTCACATATAATGCAACTCTACCTCCTCTTTTTGCAGATCTGTTTTTCTTTTTCTTTTTCTTTTTTGAACAATTTGTATCCATCCATCAGTACATTCCAGTCATGGGTTTTGTCCCAGCAGGTTTCAGGATGGCTAGATCCTACTCAGGCCATATAATCTTTATAGGTTTAATGAGGCAATTGTTCCTGATGAAGCTTTAGCATGGATCATTTTCAGATGTGCTCATGGATTAGGCACGGGGATGGTAATGACATTGTTGGGTAAGTACTGCTAAACACCCACAGTTGTCTACCTCTAATTTGATGCTTGGATTAAGGGCATTTTTCAATCAATAACAGTTGCTTCAGGATCTATTACAACAGCTGGTGCAGAATGCGGCCGCACGGGTTGTGATGGGAGCGTCCCGACACTCCCATGTTACACCCCTCCTGCGCGGCCTGCATTGCCCTTCGTTGCCCTTCGGGTGAGGTTCAAGGTGCTGGTTATTACCTACAAAGCCCTTCATGACCTAGGCCCAGGATATTTGTCGGACCCCCTGCAGCCAGCGACAATTCCCAATCGCCCGGTATGTTCCCATAGACAGGGCCTCCTCAGAGTGCCATCAGCCAGTGTCAGCTGGCTACCCCCAGGTGGAGAGCTGTTTAGTTGCAAAAAGTTGATCAATTGCATAGATCCAGAGTTACTCAACAGCATGATGCCCTCATGAAGCCATTCTTTTATTTGGAGAGGAAGATGAGTGAGATTTTTTTTTCATGACAATGACCTGTTGATGGGCTTGCAGATGTATGCCTACACTAAATAGCAATAACACTTAGACTTATATACCGCTTCACAGTGCTTTGCAGCCCCCTCTAAGTAGTTTACACAGTCAGCATATTTGCCCCCCAACAATCAGGGTCCTCATTTAACTGACCTCGGAAGGATGGAAGGCTGAGTCAACCTTGAGCTGGTGAGAATCAAACTACCAAACTTCAGTCAGCCGGCAATCAAACAGAAATACCTGCAATACTTCATTCTAACCACTGTGCCGCCATGGCTCATGCTTTATGCAGATTACATAATATTAATGTCATATACCCAGGTAGAGATGAGAAGATTGGCGCACAGATTTAACCTATATTATCCACTCCACTAGTGGAACCATATGCCACCATGACTCAATAACGCACAAGATTCAACTTTTATATTCACATAAATTTCATGGACATGTGGTATACCATGACTTTAAAAAATTCTGGCATAGTCAAGTTAATGAGTAGCACTACTCATTAACGTGCATTAATGTGATAATAGCTTGTTGATAAAGTACCAGCATTAATTAAACAGAATTTCAAAAGACATGATGCTTATTTCCCATCAATGGAGTATATAAAACAGGAAGAAAAGCAGAAGGTATCAGACAAAAGGAGACAACCAACTCCAAATCAACCACAAAGTCTCAGAGAGGAAGAACGAGCAAGACAATGATGGCAATAGGGATATATTTGTTTGTTTTGCTGCTTGCTCTGCTGATTCTCCTCTTCTTCAAACAACTCTGGTCCCAAAGACATTTGCCTCCCGGTCCTTTGGCTCTACCTATCTTTGGCAACGTGTGGCTTTATGGATTTTGGCTTCGTGAAGATTTTTTCCTTAAGGTATTTCATTCTAAGTATTCAATCAGTAATATGCAAAATAATTCTCAATTATTTTCTTTGTACCATAACTATAGACAAAGGTATTAACTTAGTGAAATATTCCTGCATAAGGAATATTGTCGAGCCCGACATCTGCTCAACGTATTTGTTGGGCTCGACAAATATAATTAATCAAACAATAGTGATGACATTTGACTATGTGCCTTATTATGCCAGAATACTCAAGCTGAGATCTGCTCACAGGGCAGGAGGTAAAATAATGGGGTTGAATTTTTAGAAGGCTGATTCTAGTTCAATCTTACCAGTCAATGGTAAAATTTTCATTATGGAACCAATTCTTCAGAGGGAGAGGGTGTTTTCCCCTTCACTCTGCTCAAATGAGGATAGACATCCTTCTGCTGAAAATGCTTTATGTTGTATTCCTGCACTGAGCACTTGGTCAAACGTGACAGCCTACTGTAAATGATTGCTTCTAATTCTGCAATTTTATAATGATTTCAAAAAAAAATCTAGATTTGAGTTCTGAAGAGAAACATCTGTTTAAGATAATAAGTCATGTGTAGATGGCTGGTGAAGGAAGCAATAACCTAGATTTGTCTGTTCAAAACTTCATAATTCGTTTAGGCACGACTGTTGATGAAATTATCATACTGCCTAGATGTAAGACTTTGCTTTCCTCCACATTACATTTCATGTTGATGAATAGGGCCAAGATCTTTTTGGATGCTGAGCTTGTCTTCTGGGGCATTGGGTACTCCCTACCTTGAAAGTTTATCCTTTTCCTCCCTGTCCACAAATATTTTGTACTTATCTTTTTCCTCCCTGATTTCTTGCCCTTTGGTTGCTTGGCCACTGCTAGGGTTTTCAGGTACGATTTGCTGATCTAGGTGCTCTGCTTAGCTGGTCTGCCATGTTGCTCTCAGCTGCAGCTGGTGTGCTGCGGTGCTCTCAGCTGCTGCAATGAGCACTGATACTCAGCTGGTCCCCAGTGGTGCTCTTAGTCACTACTCTGGCTGTTCCGCTCCTCTGCCACTTAATTCTTCACTGCTGCTACTCAATGTCTGCTGTGCTACTCACAGCTGCTGGTCTGCTGCCACCCAGCTCCATTTCATCACTGCTCAGTGGCCTCCATTTGCATCGCAATGCGTCTGTTCACCTGCTGGACTTGGTCACTGGGCCACCTTTCTGTCTCTCAGGTTGGCTGTCTCCCCATCTCTCAGATGGGCTACCAGGCCACCTCTCAGTTGGGACACTGGGCTGCCTGTCAGCTGGGCTGCTTCTTAGTTGGGCTGCTGGGCCGCCTTGTTAGAAAAGTTTTAGGTTTGGGTTGTAGAGGTCAATAAGATCTTGGAATGTCTCAGCAGCTACAATTAAGCCAGATTTCATTTATCAAGAAAACTTTGTTTATTTAAAATCAATAAACTATTTACATTTTTAAATTACAGCACATTGTCTCTTGGTCCTTATTTACTTCATAGGTAAATGTGCCTAGATCATATTTCCTTTTTATCTAGTCATTTTGACAGAGACAAAATGTCTGTTGTTGAGCAGCTGTAAGTCTCTCAGGTCTGGTCCTCGCAAGTCTTTCTCCAGTGTTTGTCTTCTCCAGTTGTGGAGTGTGTGTAAAGGGGTCATATTTATATGGTGGCTAAGCCACTCTCCCTTTAGTCCTTTAATCAAAATGGAGGGAAAGTATAAACACAAAAACAATCCTTCCAACATGGACAGTTCAGTTCAGTGGCACCATTTCAGATTATTATCTGACACGCCTCTCATCTTGGATACTGGTCCACCTCTCAGATGGGCTGCCTCTCAGTTGGGCCGTTTCTCACCTTGTTAAAAGGATTCCCCCCCTTCAAAGTTTAAAAATTCTAGAAATTTATTTTTAAAATTCCCAAAATTTAGAAGATTTTTTTTTAAAAAAGAAAATTTAAACTGAATTTTCTATTCTTAAACGTTAGTCTTCCAGAATAAGAGAGTAACAGTGCTGAAGGAACTTATATCATTCTGGACAAATGGCTGTCCAATCTCCTCTCAGAAACCTCCAGTGATAGACACCCACAGTTACTGAAGTCAAACTGTTCCACTGGTTAAATGTTTACCCTGTCGAGAAATTTTACCTTTGTTCTAGGAGTTCTAAGTTCTCCTTTTTGTTCCCTCCTATTGCTAATCTTGAGGTTGCCCTCTAGATATAGTCTGTAAACCACACATGTATTGAAAATGACAGATGAATAAATATTTGGAAAGTAAAACAAAATCTCAGCTGAAAAGAAAAAAATTGTATCACAGCTGAGAGTAAAAAAATATGAAATGTCAGCCTTGTTAGTGAATTTTTTTTTTGTATGTATGTGTATAGAAAAAGGTATTATAAGACTAGTCCACAAAAATCGACAAACATCAGGATTCTATCCTCAACAAAGCACCAGAAGGAATATTATTCATGACTGTCTTTCAACATTTGTGTATTAGCAATAGCAATAGCACTTATATACTGCACTTCACTGTGCTTTTACAACCCTCTCTAAGCGGTTTATAGAGTCAGCATATTGCCCCCAATAATCTGGGGGCTCATTTTACTCACCTTGGAAGGATGGAAGGTGGAGTCAACCTTGAGCCTGGTGAGATTTGAACTGCCAAATTGCAGGCAGCCAGCAGGCAGCAGAAGTAGCCTTGCAGTACTGCACTCTAACCACTGCACCATCGCAGCTCATTCTTGAATAAATGAGTCAGCTGGAAAGACAAAGTGAAAAGCTCATTCACTTTCTCTTCTTGGTAAACATCTTACCATATTTGTAATCTGAAAAGCATCTGCTACGTTTTGCAACATAATGCTGGTACTCAACCCTAAAATTTAGAATCTGCTTCTAGACTCATGTTTCTTTCTTTGAGACTAATTTAACCATGTTTTTTTTTTTCCTTTCTGTCTAATGGTGGGATGACTTAGGGGAAAACCCTTCCTTTTCCCTGAATAGATTTTAGAATTTTAGAATTTCAGCTCAGGAATAGTTTCTGCTGCCATTGCAACAGAGATATTCTGAGATGAGGCTGATACCAGCTATTCAGTATCATTCCTGCATACAGAATATATATTTATTTAATTTAATTTATCTAATTAATAAATCGCCCATTTCATCTAAGATATTCTGGACGGTTTACAAATAAAAGCCATACAGAAGAGACGTACTGTAGATAAAAAACAACTTTAAGAACAAGAGTAATAGTAAGTTAAAAACTTGTTATACTTGCAGTCATGTGTCTCAGCTTTTCTGTCTTTTTCTGGAGCCAGAGAAAATGGGTTTGCCACACACTCTGTCTCTTATTAAGCAAACTGGAGATGGTAGCACTGTGACCAAAGCAGATTCACCAGGATGCATTTCTCTGCTGTTGAAGATGGCATTTGTCTCCAGTAGTGTCGTAACGCTCCCTATATAGACTGTAATAGTGTCACTAGATTCTTTCTGATTTTGGGCTACTGTTGACTCACATGCCTTCTCACACTCCATCTGCATGAGTCATACCTCACAAACAAGTTCATCAATGTTTTTTTTTGTTTTTGTTTTTTGTTTTTACAATTTACCCAACAGTTTGAATGGAAATTGTATTGCTCCCTTGGCCAATCTTAATTCAGGTCGCAACTGATCAGATGAAGAACATTACTTCAGGGCAGACAAAGCTTCCTAAAATGTCCAATCAATGTAAAGCTGCCAGTTGGAAAGTTGAGGAGTTGATGGCTAAAAAAAGCAGAGGGTGAAGAGGTTGAGAAAGCCTCTGAAAACCAAAATGGAGTGCTCAAAAGATGTGATTCATAGACAAGTTGTTTCAGACAACCATTGGCTCAAATATCTGTCAGTCACAGGGGGATTTAGAACTAAGAAGAAATTTCCTAACAATTAGAACAATTAATCAGTGGAACAACTTGCCTTTGGAAGTTGTGAATTCTCCAACACTGGAAGTTTTTAAGAAGAGATTGGATAACCATTTGTCTGAAATGATATAGGGTTTCCTGCCTAAGCAGGGGGTTGGACTAGAAGACCTCCAAGGTCCTTTCCAACTCTGTTATTCTAATTCTAATTCAAATGGGAATGAGCAATCAGAATGCCAGCTCTCATCTGAGGCATGGGAGAAGGGAGTAAACAGACAGGAGATGGTGGATTTCAGGCAGAAACAAAGAGAAAGGAACATCCCAGGAAAAATAAAAAAAGAAGAAAATGGAGTAGTTCTTGGCAGTAGCAATAGCACTTAGACCTATATACCACAGTGCTTTACAGTCCCCACTAAGCGGTTTACAGAGTCAGACTCTTGCCCACAGCAATCTGGGTCCTCATTTTATCAGCCTTGGAAGGATGGAAGGCTGAGTCAACCTTGAGCCTGGTGAGATTTGATCTGCCAAATTGCAGGCAGCTGACAGTCAGCAGAAGTAGCCTGTAGTTCTGCATTCTAATCACTGTGCCACTATGGCTCATGATGGTGGATTTCAGACAGAAATAAAGAGAAAGGAACATCCCAGGAAAAATAAAATAAAAGAAATGGAGTAGTTCTTAGAGGAATCTTAGAGAAAATAAGTTTCTAAAGAGAAGAGAATTGCCTGCGGCATATTGCACAAGTCTGAGAATTGAGGGTTTAGGAAAGACGGTAAATCTGTTTTATTTGTAATACTTCTCAACTTTGATTCACTTGGCAGCCTGCAAAACGATATGGAAATATATACTCCATATGGGCCGGACATTACCTTATAGTAGTGCTGTCTGGATTCAAAGCTGTAAAAGAAGCAATGACCAGCTTCCCAGAAGAATTCTCTCTTCGCCTGGAGGATCCATTCTTGACTCTTGTAGGGAAAGGAATGGGTAAGTAGAAATAGTAAGGAATTGCATCTAAATAACCACCACACTGTTCTAATTTGTGGTGATGCATAGTAAACAAAATGATTTAAAGTCGTGAGATAAGTAAAGGAAATATTTTACATCAAATTATTATGCATCTAAAACTTTATCTTCCCTTTCCTCTTCAGTCCTTTCGTTTTCCTTCGTATTTTCCCTTCTTTTTTCAAATTTTGGCTCTTTCTTCAAATTTTGCAAATTTGATTTTTGTGAATTCTTTCCATATGACGAACCCAGCTAAAGGCACTAATTTCATATTGACTATCCACATATATAATAGTAAGCTTTCAGTATTTTCCGTATAAAAGAATTGGGTTTAGTTGGGATCTATTCCAAGGTACTAACATTTCTAAAATTGGAATAAAGTATTATCTTGCCTGAAATCAAAGCAAAAACATTAAAACATGTATATAATATATGTACAAAATTCAGAGTAGTATCCTATTAGTAGTACTCCTTGAATTATGATCTTAATTGGGACAGCAACTTCTACCACTAAGCTCTGCTGAAACTTTCATAAATACAGATTTATACAGATTTATATTTTGGTTTTGTATCCTGCCATACTCAATTGACTTTCAGCAATGACTACAATATAACAATTTAAACATCTACCATGTTTCCGAAGTGATTTTTTACACATAATACACCCAATAATAAGCCCTATCCCCAATATAAGCCCTAATTAAGATCCTGCCAACTCCAGGGTGCACGGGTAAAAATTAAGCTAGGGTGGGAATGGGGGAGAGGAGCTGCCCTACTACTTACCTTCAGACAATTGCAGCCAGGCCTCTCACACCCGAACACCTACCATGCCAGCTCATTTCTTCTGCAGCTGGCAAGGCTGGCAAGGCTTTCCTGAAGGCCTCTGCAGCCGATAACAGAGCTCCAGATCGATCCAGCCTTGCCGGCCACAGAATAAGTTCCTGAAGGCCTCTGATAGCGAAAAGGAACCCAAGGGCAATGCGTGCAAGTGAGGTAAATCAGTGGATGACATCCTCCCCCCAAAATAAGACCTGGTGCCTTTTTTGGTGGCAAAATATATATATATAAGACAGGGTCTTATTTTTAGGGAAACATGGTACATAAAATACCAATGTAAGTGACAGGTAAAAAAGAGAAGAAAACAATTAAAATGATTAAAAAAATTGAGCCAACAAAATTGGTTCTTAAATTGGATTCTAAGCAAAGCAGGAAGTGAATCAGTGCAAGGCCATTCCCAAGGAATTGCACAGAAATGATATTTGTGTAACTTTATGAATTCATAATGTTTTTAAAAGTTAGCAGTGATTTGTATTTGAGGTATTTTATTAGTGCAATAATTTGGCTTCCACTTTTCCAATCGGTCAGGTAACAAGTTTGAATTTTTGTAATCAACTTTACCATATTTTTGTTTTCAACACATGCTGAAATCTCCCTCTCCCACCTCCCCGTGTATGTGCGTATGCACACATGTGTGTGTTTGTATTACCCGCCTACATTTTAAGCTGTATCTCTTCTCCTATGGAATACTTGGTTTTATAAATATGTCCAATATAACATTTTTCATGCTAAACTGAATCATACATTGGATTATTTTCTGAGGGGAAACTTCATTTTATGCTAATTTGGAATATATGTTGGAGTAATTATGCATTATTATTATTTAACGTCCTCTTAATTAATATATACTCCTTTAAAAAAAAAACACCTTACATTTAAATCTAAATGTAAGTAAATTTCTGCCCCTCATTCTTGGATCAAATTATTATTTGTCAAATAGTCCCAGTTCTTTATGTCTCATAGGTTAACAGTCAGTTCTATTTAAGTAGTCCCAGAGGTTATGTCGTCTTTACACATTCAATCCTCTAATATAATATTAAAAAGTCTCTTTAATTGAATCACTTCCTCATTTTTATATTTAGATCTCCATTACTCATAGGGTAGCTAAAAGTAATTCAATGAAATTTTCACTTTCACTTTCATATAAGTTGAAAGCTTGTAGTTTTCCTTTTTGTCAGCAGATAGCAGTCTCCACTTAGATTCCTGCAAGTGTTCTTTGTATGTTTTAGCCTTCAGTTCCCTAATCATCCTTATTGTTCTTCTCTGCACTCCTTTTAGCTGTACAATCCTGTGATGTCTCCTGAACTCCAAACACACAAATACCAGCAAAACTTCAAAGTTCCCATAAATTCCACAATTAACTTATATTTAGCTGAAAATTCTTTAGCTTTTCTTATTTATTTATTTATTTATTTATTTATTTATTTATTTATTTATTTATTTATTTATTTATTTATTTATTTAATCAAACTTTTATACCGCCCTTCTCCCGAGGGACTCAGGGTGGTGTACAGCCAATAATAAAAACCAACATAGACACAAAAGTTAAAACAATTTAAAACTGATTCAATAGTTTGGTCGAATTATTAAAACCCCAAGACTAAAATACCCATTAAAATTCATCATTCCATCAGACCAGCTTGTTGAAATAGTAGGGTCTTAAGGGCATGGTGGAAGGCACGAAGGTCGGGGATCCTACGTATTTCCGGGGGCAATTCATTCCATAGGGCAGGGGCCCCCACAGAGAAAGCTCTCCCCCTGGGGGTTGCCAGTTGACATAATTTGACTGACGGCACCCTAAGGAGGCCCTCTCTGTGGGTGCGTACAGGCCGATGGGAGGCTATCGGTGGCAGCAGGCGGTCTTGTAAATATCCAGATCCTAAGCCTATAACTCCTATAGAGTTCAAACTGAATCTTTGGTCTTGATAGATAAAAATTACCCATTTGAGGTTATCCCACTGAAATGAAATGTCTCTTCTTTAAAACATCTTTAAGAAAGGCATAGGTTTTTCATTTCCTCAAAATTCTGACTGGAGTTTCCTTCAAAACAATTTTATCAACAGTGTCAATCTTCAATTTGGTTTTAAAGTGGCACTCTAAAATTTGTTCTTTTGTTTTCATCACAAAATGATTAATACATCCCTTAGAACTTTCCAGATTTTAACTTTGCAGGAGTTTACTTGATACAACTTGTCTATTTCTAATTCAGACTTTTCTTCCTCCCAGTCTATCAATTGAGCCAAGTGTTGGAGCATTTTTTTTTACTTATGTCCTCTCCAGCTAATTCAGGGACAGCTCAAAAGCGCAGCTGCAGTTCTTCAACTCGTAATTCCAATAATACCATATTGTTTAAATCACCCACACACTGAATATCTTTAGAATCCATTCTATGCTATATAAAGATAAAACCAGAAGCTGACTAGATGACCTATAAGGTTCCTTCCAACTCTGTTAATCTGATATTTTATCTGATTGCTTTAATTAAAGAAAAAATTTCAACTACTTTTGTTTCTAGTTGGAAGCTGCTTCTGGACTTTGTGCTTGAGATGGAAAAACACCTTCCCCCCCCCTTTTTTTTTCCTCCCTCTTTTCAATTTTTGCTGGATTGAATCCAAACTACTTCTTATAGGGTCAGGTTTCCCTACCCTCATTTTTGGTTGCCATGGTAAGAGTTTAAAAACCATCTTAAAATTATTTGCTGTAAGGTTCTATCCATTTTATTTCATTACACTCACAGTTTACAACAAATAGTCTAGTCTTTGGCTTCCTCTTGTGGTAAAACAGCAAAACGGCAGGACACTGCCAGGCAAATCAGATTTGTAACTTAAGGCTGAACAGTGAGGTCCTTGGTGCTCCTTGAGTTTGGTGGTTTTCTTGCAGACATTTCATTAGCAAACTAAGTAACATTTAGTTATTTTATTTATTTATTAATTTTATTTCTATACCGCCCTTCTCCCGAAGGACTCAGGGCGGTGTACAGCCTAATTAAAACACAAAGACAGACAATATTTAAAAATAATTAAAATAATTAAATAGTAGGCCCAATTTATAAAACCCCGAATTTAAAAACCCAATTTAAAACCAATTAAAATCTTTATATTGATAGCCCAGCCTGGCGGAACAACATGGTTTTGAGGGCACAGCAAAATACACGGAGATCAGAGATTTTGCGAATTTCTGGGGGGAGTTCATTCCAAAGGGCAGGGGCTCCCACAGAGAAGGCCCTCCCCCTGGGTGTCGCCGGCTGACATAATTTGGCCGATGGCACCCTGAGGAGACCCTCTCTGTGGGAGCGGACTGGCCGGTGGGAGGCTACTGGTGGCAGAAGACGGTCTCGAAGGTACCCAGGTCCAATGCCATGGAGTGCTTTAAAGGTGGTAACCAATCGCACCTGGAAGACCACTGGGAGCCAGTGCAGCTCGCGCAGGAGGGGTGTCATGTGGGCACAACGACTTGCACCCATAACCACCCGCGCGGCCGCATTCTGGACCAGCTGGAGCCTCCAGGTGCTTTTCAAGAGGAGCCCCATGTAGAGAGCATTGCAGTAGTCCAGTTGGGAAGTGACAAGGGCGTGAGTGACTGTGCGCAAGGCGTCACGGTCCAGAAAGGGCCGCAACTGGCGGATCAGGCGAACCTGATAAAAAGCCCCCCTGGCCACGACCGTCATATGTTCTTCTAAAGACAGCCGTGCATCCAGGAGGACGCCCAGTGCTGGAAGGGAGTGATCTTTGTTGTTATTTTTATATCAGATTGTTGGTTCAGTGTTAATTTCTGGTCATATGCATGTTGATTGCTAGTGAGGAGGTGTTGTATTTTTGATTATCTCAATTCAATTCAGAATAGAGCTGGAAGGGATCTTGGAGGTCTTCTAATCCAACCCCCTGCTCAGGCAGGAGGCCCTATACCAGTGATGGCTAACCTTTTTGCCATTGCGTGCCAAAAGCAGGGGTCGCATGGGGGGGGGTCATGCACATGCGTGCCCACATCTGTAATTCAATGCACCCCCCATGAATGCACGTGTGACCCCCCCAGTCCTCCCCCCGCTTTTGGCACGTGATGGCACGGTGGGCCTGGTAGGCCCATTTTCTGCCCTCCCCAGGCTCCAGAGCCTTTCTTGGAGCCTGGGGAGGGTGAAAACGGTCTTC